TTAGGTGAGAAGATTGATACCACTGTCAGTATCTTTTGGCAGATATGAAGCTACAGCTAACAGCTGGCTAGGTTAGCTTAGCACAAGACTGGAAACAGGGGCAAACAGCTAATCTGGCTTTGTACAAAGGAGACAAAATCCACCTACCTACCAGCATCTCTAAAGCTCTCGAAGTTCCTGTCCATCTCACTGTCAGCAAGAAAGCATATAAGTTGATTTCCCAATAGGTCAAACTTTTTCTTTAAGCCTAAAGCTGGCCTTCAGATGCTTACATGTTACATATGAATAAGTGTATACAGTACTACACTTGACTGTGATCTGATTGTGGTTCCTGTTATAACTTAGTGTAGATTGGATTACAGGTCTTCCTGCGTATTGTCTCGCTATACTAACTCCTGTTCAAGCAGTTAAAAAGGGCTTTCTTGAAATGCAAACCGGAGTAAATGACGCTGATGTTGCTGTTATTTAATTATGTTTGTGTGAATCATTTAATGTGCACTTTAAAGTCAATATACTGTATATATTATTAATGATGCATGCTGTGGGATAGGATTATGTAGCTGCTGCTTATACATTATGTATTAAAGACGTATAAGAAATGCTGATGCATACAAATACATGTGGAGTAAGGGCTTCATCATAATCTTACATTAAAGGAAGAGTTCGACATTTTGGGAAATACGCTTATTTTCTTGCTTGCCGAGAGTTAACTGAGAAGATCGATACCAATTTGATGTTTGTACGATAAATATGAAGCTACTGCAGCAGAAATACTAGCCTACCTGACTGGCTTTTAGCATAGAGCCTGAAAATGGGGACACATCTATCCTGGATCTATCAAAACGTGTAACAAAATCCACCCCTCAGAACTTTTGAAGCTCACTAATGTTTTGTCTCGTTTAATCCGTACACAAACCTACATGCAAAAACGACAATTTTACAGTTTTACAGAGAGCCAGGATAGCCCTTTCCCTATTTCCAGTCTTTGTGCTAAGCTAGCTACTTCTGGTGTTAAACACCTGAGTGTATATCTATCTCATCTCTTGGCAAGAAAGCAAAAGTGCCAAAGTGTCGAAATTTTCCTTTAAAATTTCACATTTTAAAGTACCAGAACTATTTGTTTTCACTGTACTGTTTCACCTCAAAGTGAGGCTATGTGTATCTTTTTAACAAAGAAATCACACATTCTTCCTCTTACAAATAAAAAGTTGAATACATGAGCAATGAATGCTTTTTCACAGCTCAATACACTCAGGGCTTTGGCCTCGGTCTGGTTTGATCAGTAGTGTATGCTGGCAATTGTAATGTATTGTATAATGCACATTGCTGACTCACTGCAGCTCACTGACTTTATGACTCTTCTCCACTTGTGTTACTGTTAAAATTGTACATTTTAGAAGTTACTTTTATCCCCTAATTGTAAATAAAACTTAGTAAAACAAACTTTTTTTTACCAATATTGGCAACTGAGCATGGAGGTTCACTCTTGACCCTTACGATAAAATATGAGAAATATTTAATTAAAAGGAAAAATATTCAAAACTCAAGGTTTACTTAACTTATATCAGAGCTTTTGATTGAATCTCACTGCATTTTTCAGCAAATGAAACTTGCTCATCTTGTGTTTTAAGTATGGGACTTGTGCCACGTGGTAACAGGTGATCATATATGGAAGAATACGTAACCACGCACACATCTTTAATCAAACACCACTTACAACATTAAAGGTATTAACCAAATCAAACCCTGTTTTCATACTATTTAGGGTCAGCATTCTTTTTTTCAGCAATAGCAATTCAAGGTTTTTACATTCTGTAATGCATCTCTATATAGTAGCATTGTTAGTGGCGCAGTCTGCCATTCCTGGATTCAAATAGCCTATGAATACAAATAATATACACATAAGTCATTATTATTACTTAAAAAATATGATCTCATTAATAGTAGCATCACTGTTTACCTTTACAGCGTGTGCAAGTTGTATATCAAGTTACTGCTAATGCAAACCTCAACATTTCCCTCTGCTGCTAATTCAAATTAAAAGCAGTCAACTGGCAAAATACAGGCCAGCTTTTATTGTGGGAAATGCAATGTATTTATCTATCAAAAATACGTCTACAAAACAAAGCATCTTTTCGCTGAAGAAGGGCGTGAGATAAAGTTGAAAGCTGGGTGGTTGGGACAAAAAATAAACCTTGAGTTTACAACATTAACAACATGTCACACATGGAGCAGGACAGGAAACGTTTATCTTTAACATAACCACACAGCATACAAATGCGTTTTTTTGAAAATACAATTTTACTCTATGATGTTCATACAACTGCTTTTATTTTTGTTTTTTTTAAATAGGATTTTCACCATTGAGGGAAGTTAAAACTCAAAAGGCAGACTTCTCTCAGCAAAGTACACATACTGGCAGTTAAAGTGAAAAATAAAAACTAAAGACAAGTTCAATATACAACACATGATAAAAAATAACAATACTCGTCAAGCTCTATATTCTGGCATTCATTCATCAGAAAACTAGAAAATGATACATTACAGAGGGAAGTAAAATAACACTGGAGCCCTTTTGGCATTCTCAATCACAATGCTCCTCTGACATTCTGTGTTTTTCTTGTGTTTACTCAGCACCTATAAAATCAAATTAAAAACTGAGTCCCTAAAGATTTTTTTACGATACTTGGATCCCTGGCTACATCTCTCCCAGTCTCCCAATTCCTATTTCAAGAAAATAATTGTGTATTTGTTGCTCAAACCTTTTTTTAGGAAGCAGATGAATTGAGAGACTCAGATTACAGTTTGACTTTGGATCAACTTAAATGTGCAGAAAACCTCAGTGAGCATAAGGTAGTGTTTGTTTTCTGTCTTCTATAAAGCATTGTACAGTCACGTTATTTACATATTCAGTATATTACAGCGCACTCTTTTTACTCTCAGTAGCTTGTGTGGTGCGGTCGATGCAGTGCTCACTCTCTCTCCTTCATGGAGAGGGCCCCTTCCTGTCTCCCTGTGCTTCTGTGGCTAATCTATCATCCTCAGATTGGTATATGGCAGGTATTAAAGAGTGAGTGGGTAATTCTGAGGGAAAGAAGGGGCCTTTGTGAAGAAGTCAGTGATGGAAAATTATTGAGAATCAGGGTGTCAGTCAGGTCTTTAAAAGATTGTAATACTCTAAAATGCACAGGTGGAAATGCATAGTGTATTAACTGCAATGAGGACAACATTTCATTAGGAGAAGCGTTAGCTCTGTTTGTGTGTTACAGTACTGCACCTTTGTAAAATGATTCACCTGTTTGGAGGGAAGCTGTTGTGAAGTTTGGGTCGGTTGTTCTTTGGAGGCACATGGTTGATTTTTAAGGTTGCAGGCAGACATGAAGTGCTGCTTTTAGTCGAGAGGAAATCAAAAAAATGGCTTCACACGCAGTCCATTTCTACCTGCAACAATGTGCAAGGGTTTCTACACAACACAAAGTTGTGCCTAATAGCACGCCTCCCTGCTGTGGTGAAGGATGGGATTCAGCTTATTAGGGGCAAATAAGATTAATTTAGTCCCCAATCAACCCCTAAATCATTGTGCACCAAACACTCATTAAAGTTCACACATTTTCTCTGAGTAGGGTAGCTGATGTAGGACTATTTATCTGGTCCCCATTTTTTCCCCCCATTTCATCTGATTCTACATTAGCACTTGATTATTTCAAGCTTTGTGAACGTGGGCCTTAGGTGAACTGGATGTAAGCAACATGACCAAAGCTCTAACAGCTGAGTTGCTGCAGCGAAGTGTCAGTCTGCCAACAAAGCTCCAGTCAGATCTGCATTTAAGCACAGGATGCCAGGCGTAGTATGCTGACCCAAGACCAACCATTTGACATTGATCTAGATAAGGCCCTATGTGTTCTTGTGGGCTTACAAGGCGGTGACACATGGGCAGTTTTTGAGGCAATGTTCTGCAGCATTTATTCCCATATCTTCTGCCTAGTACATATGTTGTTCATTGGCTGACTAACTACCTTACTGAGTCATTATACTGAGAATACTGTGAAATTCCCTGCAAATGCCTCTAGGCAGCAGTGTCATCACAGTAGAAGGACAGGGTGATCCTGGGCTAAGGCTCCAGCTGCACCACGATACCTGGTCCAGTTGTTTTGTTTAGTTTTAACATTCCAATCTAAAACATCTCCCCACTGGTCAAAGCTTTTATAAATATATTGGAAATCATCCCCATTGCCTGAATGAACTGCGTATGGATCAGTTTTGGCAGACTGATGCGCTGGTCACTGGTGAGAGTCCAGCAGGGGGCAGGAGTGTGAGTGGATGTCGTTGTGTTTGTGGATGGCCTGGTCCAAGTCCACAGGCCGTCCGTTAACACTGACCTCCATACAGCCGCTATAGTGCGCCGACACCAACGTGGACACCAGAGGAACGTCTGAGGGGAAGAAATGACAGCATGTGATCCAACAGATAACTGCAGCAGCCCTAGCTGTGACCTAACCACAAGTATGCCAAACAGTATTAGTCAGTGTGTTGAAACTGTCAAACACATTAACACTTTTTATCAAGTATACATGACAGTTCTCATTACGCCAGTGAATAACAATTCATGTTAATGTGTGTTATGAGTCCTTCCTTTCCACCTGAGTGGTGTCTGGCAGCATTAGATACCTCCACCGTTTTAATAGTTATTAATTTTAAATATTGATCATTAATAACCCTTCCTCCAAAGTACTTAGCATCACCACCAACCCTTCTCCTGCATACTGTGCAAATAAAACTCTACCGTACTGTATGATAAACATCCTGCAAAATGTGTATCAAATATTTCTGTCCTCACCAGGGAGGCCTCCTATAAAGGTGCTGGACTGTGACAGGAGGTCAAAAGGAACTTCGACGTCTTCACTACGTCCAGACTGGCTATCGACCAGCAGCAGGGTCTGGTTGCCTGAGATCTTCAGCTGGATTTCATGACTCTCACCATCACACAGAGGAGCAGGAGAGCTAGCGATGATGACATCACCTACAGATACCAGAACAAACTGAAAACACAGAAAAAGTCAGTTTTGAGATAAAACAAACATTATTCAAACATGCACAGGATGAGTTCTAAAGTACTCACATCTCGCCATTCATCGGTGTCGGGATGATAGTCGGCCAGAGCGATAGAGAGAGGGACTCTGTCCTGGTGAACGAGTGCAAACAGCACTCCGATTGCAGACGTTGGACGCAGGGTCAACCGGACGCTCAGGTTCTGTGATTCTGAGGTGATGAGAGCAGGAACTGAGTGAACAGCCGGTCATGAACTTTATAGACAAACAAAGACGAGGCAAACTGTTGACAAAAGAGTAGGCGATGATGGAAGCCAACCAACATTCACCCAAACAAATGAAACATTCACTAAATACTTCAGGAAGAAGCAATTAGGCTCAGTTATGCAAACTCCAGCCATGCTATGCATTACACAAACACACATGCACACACACACACTGCACCATAGCTGATGTTGAAGAGAGCGAAGCCTGTGCCGGGGTAATATGCTCCAGGATCCACTGTGCTGAAGCACTGCATGTTGTCATTGGACCGAATGGTTTCTTGTATGGATGTATCTTCACCCGTCAACCACCTCCACTCCTTCATACAGCCATCCAGACGGGGGTTCACCTACATCATAATAACAACAGTTGAGAAATGTGTCTTTTTTTTGGTACGTATTCAAGAAAATACACAAGCACATACAAACAAACACCTGATTGACGAGGCCGTCCTCTCTGAAAGGGACTCCTCCCACAGTGAGGTTGAGCTCATGCATGCCCTTCTTTAGCGTGAACAGGTCACCGTTTACTGCGATCTTCATCACGGCCTCCCTGTCAATCTTAATCACTAGACTCCGCCCCTGCTCCTCCACTGAGATCTGAGAAGCAAACAAATCAGAGTTTACAATCAGCTAATGAAGCTAAAGTAGACAATGTACTACTGTTCATGACAGAAAAACCTCCAACCTTTCTCCACTGGCCGTCATTGACGATGGGTCCGCTGCTGGTGACCCTGCTGACAGTGCCGTACTTCAGCTGCAGTTCAAGCCTTCCATGGTGCATTGCGAGCACAATCCACGAGCTGTTTAGGTGACCTCCGGCAAAGAAGATCACCCCCTCAGGATCGTACGTGCGGAAGTCAAACTCTGCCGAAAAGCTGGCAGAAGGGGGAGCAGTGAATGAGTAAGTTAGTATGACAAAGATCATTTAGAATAAATATGAAAGGAAAGAAAGAAAAGGGGGGGGGGGGGGGGCAGGGAGGAGATAGTGGGGAGAAACTATTCCTTTTAGTGGCCAAAATAATCATGTATTTTTTATCTGCTATCCACTTGGCACTCAAACAATGTTGGTGCCATTTTCCCAGCTAATAATAGAGTTGTTTTGTATCTTTTAGAACTTGCTGATACAACTACTATGTATGGTAAAAAAAAGACTTTTCCCTTTTAGACATCAAATGAATTCATTCTCAGACTTGGATTTACACTTTGAGGGGTCGTTCAGCCTGCTGTGTTACTTTAATGCAAACATTAATAAGAAAAACATGAACAAGAATTTAAAACAGGATTTGATTCAAGCCCAAAGCTTACTGTAAATTATGCTTTGCCACTAAACACCACAGATACATATTTGACTTTCCATGTTAAAAGTCAACTGGAAGCTCATTATACGTATCAGTAATGCATACAAATCAAGAAACATGCAGAATGTTAGACAACATTTTGAGTTCAATGCAATTCCTCAGGCAGGCAGACACTTCCTTAAACAAGTCTGGCAAAAGATTTAATATTGTTGTTTAAATACCCCCCCTAAAAATTAATCTTCACTTCTTAATCAAGAGTTGTGACCAATACACTTAACAATTCTTTATATTTACTGTAACTATATATATATATATATATATTAGTAGGTATATGATATCGTAGAAAATGGTGGGGTGTCTTTTTTTAGGGACACAACTGTTTGTGGAGTGTTGAACATCGCAAAAAGATCTGAAATGAAATCGCTAACTTTCATCACCCCAGTTTTGAAGTTCGTCCTTACGGAAACCTGCAGCCTCACCACTGCGACGCGGCTGAACATGGAGCCCAGGTAAGGAAGCGAGAGTTCCTCTTCAGGGATGGGCGGGGACATAGCAGGGGTTAAAGGCTGGTGAAAACCGGCAGACCAGGGAGAACAAGCTTGGAGATACGCAGGCTGAAGCATATTAAGAGAAAAGTGGATTTTAAGAGTACACTTGACTTCGAAAGTAGTTTTATACGTTCACATCAACACAACAAAGGGTGAAAGGTTGCATGTATTTCACCTGTACAGCGTCCTGGAGTCCTGGCCCCAGTCTTCATTGGGCCCTGACGACCATCAGCAGAAGCCACGGAAACTGGGCTGAGTGTTCAAACCGCACTCCTCTGCACACACACCCGTCTCACACTGCATCCACAGTCTGAACAAGTTACAGAGATTAAAGGAGAAGGGAGGAGATGAATTCGTGGGTTAGAGGGAGAATAGGATTCAGTTAGTTAGTCAGAGCCCATTACGTTGGGAGGACTTTAGTCAAAACTTGAACTGTTGTCAATGCGATCGTACATAACATCAGTATTAGTTACTGGTATACTGGATCGTAATATTACGATAGATCTGGCACCGTATATGATATATTCCTAGTTACTTGGTCATCATATTATATTTTTTTGTGGTTGACATGTTAGTACTAATTATATTTATGTTTGTTTTTGGGTCATAAACTACTGTCATTTGTATCTGGAGTATGTAACGAATATAATTTCCCTCTGGGATTATTAAAGTATTTCTGAATCTGAATCTGAATCTGAATCAGTTTCACAAGCATGAAAAAACATAAGATGTATTTCCTGTCAACAAATGAAAGAATGAAAACAACACTTGAGTCGAGTGGTCTTTGATGTGGACTTCATATACAACCTTACATGGCCATGAGAAGGTTGGCTATAATAAACGTTCATTCTCAGAGGAGGGACACTGAGGTTATGAAAAGTCTGGTTTCCATTGCAAAGAAAAGCAGGGCATGCGAGTGATTAACGACTTTGGTTTCTCCGTGAATTCTTATTCAATGTTTTTACCAACAGACCTGATGCTTGTGATTATTTATATCATTGTGTTATCTTATTAAATACCAAGGCAGCATTTTCTGGCCTGGCACATCCTACCACTCCTTGAGTATAAAAGTTCATGCTGAGCTGTCAGCTACAAATCTAGGGGAAAACATGAGATTAATTATGTTTGACATGCAGAATAAGAGAATACAATACTATCCTATACATCTTGCACTGTTAATTACATTTATTAAAATAAAAGTCAAATGCTACTTGAATATTTGATTGGTGACTGTACAGATGGTTGTTTTTAAAATCACTGCATGTTTAATGCATGTTTTGGTGTCCCTAAGATGAGAAATGAACACTTTTAACATGTAAACCTATGGCGCATCTTCTGTGCTTCACCTCATCGACCATTTCTGTCCTCACCAAATTTGAAATCAAGAAGACAGCCTGTGTATTTAACCCCTGAAATATTTTTGTTCTAAAGGCAAGGAGAAGGTGACCTGTAACCTACTTATACAGAATTCCTTTCCTGACCCCCACAACACAGCTGCATCGAGTCCTGCTGAGGTTGAAGTTGCTCCTCCGTCAGTTCACATGAAACTATGTTTGTGTGTCGTCGTGTGTGGTTCTCTTTTATGGTGTGACTATACACACTTACCAAGACAGCTCTTGGTTTCATTGTCGTAGACGTAGCCGATATCACACAAGCAATCGTAACTGCCCTCCTTATTCTGACAGCGTGCTGCTCCACACACACCTGGGTCCTCACACTCATTCACATCTGAAAGACACAAAATGTGCTCAGCTGGACAGATATCAAGAAGATTATACAGTCAACGACATGATCTGAGGAGGTTGATTGTACTTTGGCTCATTAGCCACAAGACAGATACTAGTAAATTCTGGTCCTGATGGGTTAACCAGTTAAATCAAAAGGACCCCAATATTAAATTTGTCCTAAAGCAGCTTAGATTGTAGATTCAATAGATTGTTTCACACAGATTGTCAACATTATATACGCAATTCATACTAACTGCGTCAAACCTACATTGAAATAAATATTTACACCAAAGGCACAGTTTACATTGAACCATTAAATCTAATGGAAATATTAAGATGTTATGATTTTATGCTCATCTGCTGAAACCTAGAATATTAAATAAACTAATGCAGGTTTGCACAACACGAGTAATGTTGGACCTGACAAAGAGTCTTAGAGGTTAAAGTGTAGAGTCTAATTTATTAACTAAACCATTTATTCTTTAGGTGCTTAGAATGATAATTATTTAAGACAGAAGAATTACTATAGGGACTACAATCAGGAAAACCTTGCAAAGTCCTCGCAAATTACCTGAAAACATTTATACAAGTTAGTATTAGTATGAGTATTAGTACTAGTTTGAAGTGGATCAAAACTGTTCAAGTCGAGTTCGAGTTAAACAAAGTGTTTTTTGTGATGTGTCCATCTATGGTTTTTGGCTTACCATTACATATGTGGCGTCCTACCAACATGTAGCCTTGGTGACAGGAGCAGCGGTAACTGCCCATAGTGTTGTTGCACTCCTGGTTACACCCTCCATTATTACTGCTGCACTCGTTGACATCTGCAAGTAGGATGGTGTTACAGTCAACATGAACGCAGGAAAAACATCATCATGGGCTGTGTACAGCATTGGGCTGTTTGGCTGGTGTTGAGATTTCCCACAGTAAGTCAGGATCAGGTTGTATTTCACGTAATTGGTTTTGAAAGTTACATTTTGAAATTCTGAATAGGGGTGCACAGCCTAAAGTCTGACACAGTTTGAAAGGCTCACTTAAACATCCTGTGCATTTGTTAGACGCCTTACAAATAACTGACACACTATGTCATTGTAACTGAGTGTTTAGGAGGAGTGCGGTCGTCAAGTGGAAAAGACTCAGACCAAGTCAAACTGAATCTGTTTTGGTTTCCTCTCACAGTAAGGTGGCAGGATGAGTCACAGTGGAAATGTGTGGAATGGTGGCTGTGCTGTAAATCAGAGAAACGTTTTCCCTCTCCCTCACAGTGTGCATGTATAAATTATGTGTGCTTTCCAGTTACTGCTTACACACTTAATATGTTACATTTCCCTTTCTAAAAGTGGAACCCTGTTTCTAACTTTCAGTTTTTTTTCAGAGGACATGCAAGCCTCCCCTCATATCTAATTACAGTAACTAGCTTTGACCTCATAGATTCCCGTACATGCAGTTCATATTGACCTGACACCATTCACACATCATTAATAACAGCAGCAGCAGCAGCAGCAACAACAACAGTTGGATACTAAATAGGCATGTCAACAGTAACAGTTGCAATTGTAAGATACAAGTGAAACACTAGAGTTTTGCAAGGTCAAAATAAAAAAAACAGCATTCACATTAACATACTGAGAAACAATGAAAATACTAGAAATATCTGCCTTCTGATCTCTTTCATTAGTCATATATTTGGGTCTCAGTGGACAGGAGTTGTCTGTCAGAACTAAAATCACTGTGATTATGACGTTGATCCACACTGAATGACAGTGCAAAAAGAATTCAACCTCTGCTGAGCTCCAGCACACAGTGTCCAACTATACATCCTCTCTCTCAGTCCATATGGATGACAGTACCTTTGTCACATCTGGCTCCGGTCCAGCCTGTGAAACAGTGACAGAGGAAGTCGCCCTTTTTGTCCTCACAGCGGACTGTACCTCTGGCGTTACAGGGAGACGGAGAGCACTGGTCTGGAATATCTTCAAACGTGAGAAAACAAAGAAAGACAGACGGAGAGAGAGATTATTGCTTTAAAACTGAGTCTATACAGACCGGATGCACACACTTATTGTAACTGTACACTGATACCAGACAGAGGAAGGGCATCTCTTATGTTCTGCATATCAGGAGTTATATATAAATAGCCTAATGCTGGCTAAGCTCTTTTGCCAGAGATGCCCTAATTCCATCCTTCACAGCATACCTGTCTTCTAGCTCACAAAAAACAAGATCAAACGGAAATTCAACTGTCTGTTCATTTTTGTTTGTCCTATTTTTCTATGAGATAATTTCACTTGAGCCTTCTTTCAATCCAAACTTGTGTAAGCGAGCAACTCTTTTCTCTCTCCACGCAGTTTCCTTTTCCCAGCAGTGGAGTTTGAACTCCAGCTAACATGCCCAGACTTGTCGAGCAGTTTCAGAGAAAAGGACAGTGTCTGGATAAAATGAGGGAACCAGGAGAGAGATAAGCTTACATGTGAAACACAAAAGCACAACTTACAGAGCACGACATTTTTCACTGAATGGTGTACAAAACTGTAAATATAAATATCTTAATTTCCTTAGTGAAACATCCGAGTTTTAAGTGATTGAAATTCAACATTTCACGTATAATCTTCCAAAGATTTGACAGCAGACCACCATGACAGTAAATCGAAACTAGTTAGGTTCTTTATATAGTGGAAAAATCAAATCAGTATCAACTACATGCTGCAGCTGTGAGAAGCTTTAGTTTTAGAGACAGTCAGCTGCACAGTCAGTCAAACATAGTACAAGTGAAGGGCTTCCAGCAACGTGATGACTCCAGCTTTTGACTGAATTTATAAACAGAATCTTACAAAATGTTACCTGTAATCTTAAAACAAATAACTAACAATGTTAGCTACAATATTAAAAAGGTGCATTGCAAGTTAAATATTTTCAAAAATACACAACATATTAGTCAGCTTAGTGTATAGGGACAATAATTACCTTTAAAATATCATTAATATTAGAAGCAGTATCAAACTATGCTTGTAGTAGCACACTGATATATGGATGATTCATTTTACATGGTCATATTTATGCATTATTTATTTTAGCTAATAGGCTGTTGTTAATTTGTGATTTTCTAGCTTTGATATTATAATATTTTATAAAAGCTTGACAAAGTAAATTGCATTACTTCATTAGAGTTGAAGTAACTTGTGCTCCTCTCTTTCAGTGATTGCAGCAATTGCAACCTGTGTTACAGACAAGTAAAAATCAGGGAAGCTATGAGCACCAAGAATCACACTGTTAACAAGTCAGCACCAATGGTGGAAGCTAAGCACCATAAAAATAGCAGTATTAGTGTATATTTATTTATAAATACTACATGCCTACTTCTAAAACGCAGTCCTTAAATGAATCAGAGCAAATTGACCAAAGCTCCAGCTTAGTAACATGGTTGGGATCTATGAGCAAGCAGGGGTAACTGCTGGAGCGTCTCTTGTTTCCTCTGCTTAACATTTTAGAGGCCCCTTAACAGCGTGTCAACATTTCATTTTCATTTAATAAAGCACACACTGTGGGGACACCACAATGATGATGATTTGGGTTAAGCCCTCCCAACGTTTACAGGGCAACAACAATTCATGTCCACGTACAGTGTATGCTACAGAGTGTGAAAATGTGTTTTAATGACTGAAAGGATTTTTCTGCAGAGCAATTCACAAAACATGTACAAACTGCAGAGTAAGAGAACAGACACAGACAAGAGTGGGAGAACAAACACTGTATGTGCAAATATGAAGCTAACTCAGCCCAAACTATATCTTTCCATATCATGTTTGTAGCATTACATGTCTATAAACTGTCATAAATGGAATTAGTGGAATGTCACGATCTGCTTCGATACTGGCATACCACCACTATTCTGTATGGAGACAGATGGGCAGAGATTTGCAGTGGGAGAGGGAAGTGGTGAGAGAGATAGCTGGTGTGCTGACAGATAGATAAAAAGGAAGAAAAAAAAGAAAAAGCTGCCGTGCCACGATGCTGCAACTGAGTCATGGAAACCCCCCCTCGAGACTGCTCAGCCAATAGCAGCGGAGCCGGGTTGGTTCCCTGTATCCTGATGCAGCAGAAATCCTGTGCTCCACTCGCGTCAGGTTTTTCTTTCACGTCACTCCTCCGCGGAGCCAGCTCACGAAGAAGCTGGTGCAGTCGGCCAGAGAGAGCGAGTATGTGACGTCTGAAGGGGTGTGTCGCTCATTCACCAATGTGCAGCATCACTGTAGTGCTGCAATGTTACTCATAGATACCTGTGCTCACCCACATATAGGGCACTCAAAGTCAGAGTCAGTCTTGTCTGTGACGCTGCAAAAACTGACCTGGAGGTGCCAAAGATATTCAGCACCTTTTCATTATCTTGTCTTCTTTTCCGTTTGCTGCTTAGAGAATGTGTGCCTGAGTATGATGCAGAGCAGTGATACTGCAGTGCAGCCCAACCCCACACTACAACTACTCTTACACAGTGAAAAAAGAAAGTCAGAAAGAGAGGGTGAGAAAAAGATGGGTTTGTGAGAAAGGAGGGGTCAGGTATCCATCAACCTGCCCACAGTTGTGCATTAAGCTCTTAAAGTAAGTCAGTAGACAGATAAGAGGGCGTAAAACCTACTGTGGACACACGTAACCAGATCCTGTTTCTTCTTTTCGGCATCTCCAAACTTCTCCATGCAGGCTAGAGGGAAGAAAAATGAGATTACAAACATATAATCAGTCAAACTGGCGGTTATAAGTAGAGATGAAGACTGAGAATGATAACTTACCTAAATATTTGGGATAGAAGTAGTCCTAAATCAGTGGAAAGAGAGAGGGATAAAGTTACATATACGTATAAACAAAACTCTAAACAGAACAAGATAACATAAATAAAAGCTTAAGCTTCGAGGGGGGATGTCCTGTTAATAGTTGACATAATCTAAGATTTGGTTTCGTTTCATACCCGATGTTTGTGCTGTGTACTCGTGGGATTGAAAAGCATCTCATAATCAATAATTAATTTTGACTATGACATTTGTCTGTGCGTGTGTGTGCAGTATTCAGTCAGAGATTATAAAATGATTACTCTGTAATCTGTGTGCGCTCTCTCTAATGGGTGTGGCCCTTTGCCAAAGGCTTCCTGAGAATTCTCTGCATTCCTGATAGTAGGAGCATCCCTCCCACCTCCCGGCTGCAGTACTCCTCCACATGTAGGTCAAAATTTGGGAAGATCTACCAACGGAAAAACTGGCTTTGAAGGCACATCGATTTTAGAGAGCATCTGCTGCAGTAGGAGCCAGATGCAGCAGGCTGAGGTGAAAAAAAGTTTCTTGTATGAATCAGTAATCAGATGGAAATTTGCTAAAGCTAGGAACATATTACACAAAATAAAGCCTGATTATACCCCTGAATGGATCCGATTTGCAAAGGTCAGCCGCATTTAGTTCAGATGTAGTGTGGTCCCAGAACAAGTCTGGGGATATTTATAAACTTGACCCTAACGGAAAAGTCAGACGTCTTTCTGTCCCCCCTCTGAAAGGCTTAACAAGTGAGAGACCAGAAAGTTTCAGAGGATAATCACAAGTGTCCAGGAACACCCCACTCTCCCTTTCTCTGCAGAGCTAGAAAGCTGCAGCACAAGAAAATGCAGAGTCAGAGACCGGCACTTTCCGAATGAATAATGCAGTTATGAATGAGACTGCAGCTTTGTAGCACGACATGGCAGAAAACTACAGGCACGCAAGCGCTATTCTGAAGGGGATGTGCGTCCAGCTGATTCCAACTCAACCCGAAGGAGCGTCACCTGACTTCACCTTTCTGCCTGAACCCAGCTCAACTTCGCTTTAATCCTCCTTCCCTCAGTCCTGCCTCAGCTTCCATGTCTCTCCTCTTGGCTAATCTTACACGCAATTTCTGAGTCATTGATTGCCTCATTCGCTCCCTCTCCTCCACAATTCACGAATGGCAAAACTTCAAGAGTGAGAGTGACAGCTAAAGAGCGTAGCACGTCAACAGCGCGACGCTAACAAACGCTCCCTCGACGTGAAGTCTCGGACTTCCAAATCAAGCAGCCAAACTGAAAATATGCAAAGATTCAGCAATTTCAGGATATACTGCTGCTGATATTTCTTGACGGCTAACATTTTTTAAAAAGGCATTTGGGCAAGAGTCTGCACTACAAATAGCCCACACTATAACTCATCTCACTGAGTACCGCTCACACACACTGACACATGCAACAAACCAGGCACAGATGTCTGTTAAAAGACTTAAAGTCTGCATTCTCAGCCAACGAATGAATACACTCCCACTCGCCCATGTTCCACGTTTTCGGACACATTGGGTTATTTATACCTCTGGAGCTTGTTTGCATATTCAGCACATATAGTACATATTCAATGAGCTTACAAGTTCACATGGATGGAAAAAGGCTAATCTGCACGTTCGTGAATGGAAACTAATCTGCAGTAAAAGTTCCTGAGCACACAGTGTGATGGATTTTGTTTGTTGGTAATCATCAAATAATAAAAAAAAAAAAAGAGGGTGGGAGCACACAGATTAGAGCGCTACTGTGTTGAATGAAACACATTTCTCAGCCCATGTTCGTTCTGTAATGAAACACGTAATCAGCTCCCAAAGAGGCCAATCAGAATCTGAGGAGTTTGTTCGCATCGTTCACGTGCATTTTTGCGTACGGGTGTGTAAAAGACGGCCTGTGCAGATGATACAGATGGTGAGAGGAGAGATAGAGATATCCAGGTGTAGCCCATATTTGTCAGGGGCCTAAGATCTCCATTAGATAGGGCCACATTTCAGTAAATGGAATATATATAAGCCAAAAAAGAAGACACATGAGTGACTGACTTTGTGTGTGCATATAAATATGAAGGGGGGGGGGGTTGTAGGGATGGCACTGTCTTTAACTGAAAGTGTATTTCATAAACTAAAGCTTAGTCACGCTGACTCAATGTCTGTCACAGAAACAAACAAAAGGAGATTAAAACATGTGACAACATGAAGTGACATGGGAATATTGTGTACACTGACAGCTACCAGCAGCCCAGACAATGAATCATTAGTCTATTGTAACATTACCGTCATGAATGATTTTAGTCAATACGAACATGATGTAAACAACCGACCTTGAAGATTTATGTTTTCTGACAAATACCGGGTGGCGAAAACTATCTGGGCCCATGAAACAATATGATTTCCACTTCTTAGTAGTGTTTTGATGAGTTACCAGCCTTCACTGAGTTTTAGTACTGCAGTACCTCAATGGAGTAGAAGCCAGAAGAAGGTGTGGTGTTGTGGTTGTGTTTTTGGGAGAGGGAAACCTGCATGCAACCTTCACTTAAATCCACAACTTTTTACTGGTGCTTTGGTCCCTTCATATACAACATACTCACCGTCTCCGGGTCGTTTTCAAACACTTCTCTGGCCTCCTCTTTGGTGCACCTTTCCTCCACACACTCCCTCTCCAAGTGTCCTTGCTTCGTCTCCTCGAAAACTTGATTCGCCCTCCTGTGTCTGCTCAGAAACTGGTTCGCCTCTTGGGGAGACAGTGAAACTGCAAAAAGAAAGGAAAGGAAAGGAAAGGCATCCTTCAAAACACATTTAATAACCCACAACAACAAGCAAGAGAAAGGTCAAACTAAATGTGGAGTTAGGCAATATTTTGGCTCCCAAAAACGAAAACACTTCAGCAAGGTTGCGCAACATCTACAGTTAAAGCACCGTTAATGACGGTAATAACTGAGGCATGCATCATCATCATCCTCATCTTCATCATCAGCAACCACAACACAAATGTCAAAGGGGACTCAGCGAGCTAGTTAGCCACCTAGCATGTAACTGTGTACTTACTGCTGTCGGACCAGCGGACGACCAGCAGCATTAGCAGGGCTGCCGATGAAAGGGACTTTGTCGGGGTCAGCCGCATTGTTTGAACCGCCGTGTCTGCGCCAAGCTTGAGAAACTTTCTCCCGTCCCGTCTTGCAGTCGCTTCTGTCCCCCTTCTGTGTCTCTCAATGTCAGTGCTGTTCGCACCGAGCCGAGGCTAACGTAACTGCGAAACACACTGCAGGTATTCAGGTACTTCCGACCCTTGGTCGTTAACGTTTTTTGTTTTTTATGTTAAAATCACCGCCGCGGAGCGTTGCGAGCTAAACGGTCGTGTGCTTCTCCCGCATATCGTTCATAACACAGATTTAAGTCACCGTCCGCTTTTTTTTCTCTCTCTCTCTGCGGTTCAGCTCGTCCCCATTGCGGTCTGTACTTTATTTTTATTATTTTTTAGCCCTTTCTGTCCTGTGTTGAGCCCGCTTTTGAGTCCCCACTCTGCGGAGAAAGACTGCACGTCTGTGCTGCTTCAGGAGGGGGAGTAGCTCTGAAAAGTGCAGGCAGGAGTTTGTAACGATGCAGACACCTCTCCCTCCTCATCCCTCCCCTCCCCTCCCCTCCCCTCACTCTCTCTGTGTGTGTGTGTGTGTGCACCCATTATCACGCTGCTGAAGTTGGAAAATAAATAAATCTTACTGGTTCATAATGCTTGAATCATCACCAGAGCTGCAGTGCTCAAGTACTGTACTAAAAAATAAAATAAAAATACTTGTACTTGAGTATTTACATTTTAAACTCATTTATACTTCAGCTTTACATATTCTACTTTTTATTCCACCTTTTACTCATTTGTCTGACAGCTTCAGTTACTAGTAACTTTTTAGAAAACTCACATATTTCCAAATTTGGTCATTCTCAATGTGTATTTCTCAGATGAATGTATTTAAAAACTCTCTTGGATTAGTTGGGAAGTGTGTAGTATTGATTTACTTAAGTAACGATCTGACTACACTACTCTTCCACTACCAGAGTGCAGTGGTGAAAAGTAACTTTCTAAAGTACTTTTACACAAGTACTGTTACTTAAGTACAATTTTGAGGTACTTTATTTGGGTATTTATTTAACATTTTCCGAGAAGAAATATTCAGATCCTTTGCTTAATAATACAAAAATACCACTGCAAGTAAAAGTCTTGCATTTTAAGTAAAAACACAGAGGTATTGTCAACAAAATGGACTTTAAGTATGTAAAGTAAAATTACTTATCCAGCAGAATGGCCCCTGCCAGTGTTATATACTGATGTATTAGCATGTAAGGAGCATTTCAATGTTCAAGTGAGCGTCAATTTTGACTTCTTTATCCTGTTGGGTGCTTTAGTTTACAGCACTGTATCATATTTTATGAGCTGTTTGTATGTTTTGTACAGTACATAAATCAGTAAAGTAGTTCTTTGAGCTTCTTCCTCAGCTTTAGTGGAGGAATCAGAGCAGTCCTCACTCAGCTTTAAAAAACTTCCAGGGCAGTTTATTTTAGACCCACACCTTCTTTTTCCAAATACTTTTTTCTTTCAGTTTTGATTCCCCTGAATATTGTTTAACTGAAAATCTATTTTTAAGTATCCTTTCCAGTTTTCATTGTCTCATTTCAACATCAGTGCACTTTGTGTTTCACTTTAATTTCTCTCTGTCTTCCCATTTCTGTATCTAGGCCATTAGGCTGAAGTGTGTCACATATTATATTTTATTATACAGTGGGTTACAATAAAATTGCACTTGATAGTGCTCAACAATTGATATTGTGATGTGCCTGAAAGGGTGCAGCTTTATAATTGTTAAAGTTACTCTAAATGTGAACAGTAAACAGTATTGATGTTGTCTTTTTAAATAAGGACCCAAAGTCTAAAATTCATCTATTTATTGACCAACTGGCTGATTATTCACTAAATTGAGGGGTATTACAAACAAATCAAAAGTATTGCAGCGTGTATTGATGCTAACAATACAAATTTGTACCCATATATTACATGTAGAATAAGCTAAAATGTATTGAAAATATGATTTTGACTAGTTTAGAGTGGACTGATGGTGGCAGAATGGAGAACGACGGCTCTAAATAAAGGAGAAATCACGTGATATTAAAGGAAAACACACCTGAGTCAAACAGTGTTTTGTAAATGACTGCTTTACGAGTGTGTTGTGTCACCAAGGACTTAGGACAAACTGCACCGGAAGGATGGCGAAAGATTTAGGATATCAGTTCACAGACGACCATAAATTCATTTTGGACAACATGACGTTTCCTGTGTGGTCTTGTCTCCGGTGATGGGAAGATGGCAGATAAATGTATTGTTTTAATTCAACACTATTAGATAAGGTTGCTTTGACCAATTTTATTAAAACAAACATAAAACAAACAAAACACTGAACAACTACATTTAAGTTATATATTAACGATGGCTTGTTTTATATACAAAGTTAATTTTGGACACAGGAGAACGCTGAAGACGAGGTCAGAAACAGAGGAACAACACAAGTTGCAGTTTTGCAATACAAATAAAATGATGAACCATGTTTCTAAACGTTACTAAACACCTCAGAGCTCCGGTAAAGGATGGTGATTCGAACAAGAAAATGCTAAAGAATTGGATCGATAACCTGGAGGCTCCGCTTTCTCTATTGTGCTTTTCTCTGCCAACAACCACCAACCACAATTTCAGCTACTTGTCTCAGACGTCCACAAGACCAGAAGGGAATTTAAGAGATAGTACCATGATTCAACAACAGGGACAAAGATGCAGGTGGTCTTAAAGCCTGGCCAACATTGACCATTTGTTTATTTTTCTACACAAACATAACCATCTCTTGCTCCAAACATGGTTTGCGTGCTACAGAGCTCAGCTCTTTTCAAACATTTCTTGGAAAGCATTTAATTCACTGCAACAAACTGCTACAACTACATCATCAAACTATTCAGCTTCTGACTAGCTTACTGGCAAGCCAGGTTTCATTTTGCCTCGCTAAAAAAAAAAAAAAAAAAATGCTCCAAGAACAGGAACAATAATACTGTATGAATGAAAAGCGTAAGACAAAGCTTAAAATTAAACCCATCAGAGAGAGTCGACAAAAATGACTATAACCGTCTACCTCTATCTCCTCTTCCTTCCTCTTCTCCTCTTCTATATCTCCCAAAATACCCCAAGAAGGGCCCACTGTGGGATTCAGACTAATGCGAGGGCTTTTTTAATGCGATACGCTCGTTAATTAAGGTCAGTCTCTGTGCGGGTGCGCCGCATCGGGGTGACTCTCATCGGAAGTCACAGGAGGACAGGAATGGGACTTAATACTGTTATGTTTGCTGAGAGCCTCGTCAAAGTCCAGCTGCTGGCCGTTGATAGTGATGTCCATGCAGCCGTGGTAAAAGGCCGTCACAGGGCTGGCGGGTAACGGGACGTCGTCTGAACGAGAAACAGGACAGTCCGTGAGAATAATGAGAGATGGGGGTCAACATAAAACCCTTTTTAATACCACAATAAAACATAAACGACAAAATAACATAAAAACATTAACAGGTAGAAATTTGGTCAACAACTATTGGGTGGACTGCCGTGAAGTTTTGTGCAGACATTCAGAAGGGATTTTGGTGATCTGCTGGCTTTCCTCTAGCTCCACCATGAGGTTAAAATGTGTTTTTTAGTGCAACTATTGCAATGGATTGCTGTGAGATTTGGTTCAGACATTAATGCCCCCCTCAGGACGAATTGTAAACAGTTTGGTGATAAGGAAATCTCTGAGAAAGCTTTCTTATAAAAAGATGGGGATTGGTTGGTATTGATATTGAAAGGATTACAGCCAGAAAGCCACATTAGCCCTTTCATGGTGGTCAAATATAGCTAATAAATTATGCTCAATTATTTATTTTCAAAAGAGTTACTTTTGTGCTTTTGTTTTGCTTTTAATATTCTACTTTGACTAACCTGGTATCCCACCAATATATGTACTAATGGGGTTCTGCATGGTGGTGTTGAGGTGCCCCAGTGCCTCCCGCAGGGCGTCAGACTTCATGTAGGTAACTGTGGAGGAGTTGGCTGAGATCTGGATTTCTGTGGGAGTCACATTGAGCTGCACCGTCAGCCGTTCGGGGTAACACAACATCAGCGACACCACCGTTGCCACAGGGACGCCGTCCATGAACACTTGCAGGTTCTAGAGCACAGAGGGCATTAACATCGCAAAGTTTAATCACATGTATTTGTGCTTTTACATGTGTAAAGATGTGTTCTCATTTACGATAAAAGCGTGAATGAACTCACAGCATCTTCTTCTCCCTGCGTTACCACAGCGACCGACAGGGGGACCATGTTGTTGTAGACAAGAGCAAAGATGACCCCTGTGCTGCTGGACGGACGTATATTCATCTTTATATCCACATTCCAGCTCCCAGAATCACCTAGTGACACACAGGGAAACGTAAATACATTTCTTATTTCTAGGTTTACTCAACTCTGCAATTCTAAAGAAAGTCTCTGTTTCTAAAATCCTAAGCCCAAGTTCTGTCGTGACATGGATAATGTAGAACATACACAGGTGTAACAGCTACAGTGGAACAAACCATATATGTCTAATCTGTACCTGTGCTAGTCTATATTACTACATGGAAGAGGTCTTTGTTCAACACCAAGCAGGACTAACTGGAGCCTTTCTGCGTGTAATTTATTCTCCCTTTGTACACGTGTTTGTTCATGTGTCCCTTTGCTGGTGCTTCACTTTTCTCCCAAGGTTCAATGCTCCGAAATATTAAGGATCGGTCAATGCAGAGGCCAAATTTTCCCATGGGGATTAATAAAGTATAACTTAACTTACTCACTGTAGTCAATGTTGAAGAGTGCCAGTCCTTCCCCAGTGAAGAAAGAGCCTTGTTCCACATACACGAAGCAATGTTTACTCTTCTTCTCCTGGATGACCTCCTTTACCCCAGATGCTCCCTGGTTCATCAAGTTCCAGCCCCGAATGCAGCCGTCAAGTCGAGGGTTGATCTAATGGATGGATGGAAGGATACACACACTGAGTACAACACTGGATTGGAGATGGTTCAATATGCTCTCTGTATATACATGTGTATGTATATATGCTTTGTATATTGATTTAATTATGTTATTAAGGTGACAGTTATTAGATGGGGTCACAGGGAAGAGAAATCCATGTTTGCTGTGTGACTCATTGTGTGTGCATGCTTTCAGACGGCCTACTTACGGGTTTGATGACGTTATCAGTGCGGTTGGGCAGACCAGCAATGTAGACCTTGGTCTCCAGTTTGCCATTAACTGAAGTAAAGAGACTCTCGGGGCTGTTGATGCTCATCACAGCTTCCTTGCTGATCTTCACACTGATGCTGCTCTCCAGTTCATCCACAGAGATCTGCATGTTACACACACAATCCATTTGCCATGAATACAGCTTATTGATTAGCACTGCAGCTACCACTCTGTTAGCCATAGGGGAATAAGTTGAGTATGTGTAGGGAATTACTGGACTACAGCTCTTTCTCACCACATGCCACTGTCCATCATTGATGGCTTTTCCTCCACTGGTGACCTTGAATGTGTGCTGGTTTTTGAACTGGACTTCAATGCGACCGCCTCTTAGCCCCAACATGAACCACGAGTCCTGGGAGGACTCTGCGTACAGCACGACTCCCTCTGGGTCAAATGTACGAAAGTCAAACTCTGCTGCAAACCTAACAGCCAGAAACAGGAAGTTCAAAGATCCATTAACATTCACTAACATCCATTTTATAATTGTTTTGATTTGTGTTATTTGAGTTTACAGACAGACTTAATCTGGTATAAATGTCTAAGGGTCCTGGAACTATCTTGAGATAAGTAGAATTCCTACTTTTATTACTGTAAAAATTACATTTTTGTTGACATTTGCTGATATGGAGCTTTAAGTGGCATTTTTATGGTCATCAGATAAACTCTACACAGTAATGCCACTTTTCCACTGCATGGTACAGCTCGACTCTACTTTACTGTACTTGTTCTTTTTTGGTTTTCTATTATGGATAGTACCTGGTACACCGGTCGAGGTTCCAAGCAATCTGAACTGATAATAAAAGGTGATGTGAAAACAATGCAGACCACTGATTAGTTATGTGACACAGGACATAGTGCACATAGTTTTTTAATTACCTCACAAATGGCTGCCCGCACACAATGCCATGGTCAATTAACGAAGTGCAGATTTATCAAGCAATATCCTCTTCTTCCTCCTCTTAATATCCTCTGTTATAAGAGTAGCAGCTCCTTCTTGCATACGTAGTATATGTGTGTGGATGAGTGAAAGAGTGATGAATGTAATCGGTGCAGAGGAAAAGAGAGCACGTCTACGTTCTGGGGGTACTAATCAAAGTACTATATACAGTGGAAAATGAAGTAGAGCTACTAAAAGTGAGTAGAGTCGAGTCGAACGTCGTACGTGTAGTTAAGATACGGCTTTCGATTTTAAATTCAAACAACTTTATCCAGGGTCACATTGACTGACTTGTTGTTCTGGCATTATGCAGATGCTATTTGCTCTAAATAGTGTAAAAAACACAAAACATACTTATGATGATTTAAGAAAATACACTATATTCGTATGTGTGTGTGTGTGTGTGTTTGATCCTCACTTTGTGTTCTCCGGCAGACGGAAGCGCAGGTAGATGACAGGAAGGCCAGTAAACTGCTCCCCCAGGTAAAGCATCTCAGGGTGCTTGTAGTCATACAGGTCAACACAAACAGGGATTTTTTCACAATATCGCTTGTCCTCCGCCAAGCGAAAACCCCCACGACCATCACAGTGGCACTCATAGCTGCCCACTGTGTTTATACAAATCCCGTCGCACACGCTCAACTCGCACTCATCTACATCTGCAACAACAGGAAAAGAAACACACAAAAATCAGTTTTTAGGAAGTCTGATTTGTCACCTTGTCAGACAGTATGACTCTTGATGGTATGAAAGACACTATAAATTGAAGCCTCACCATTGCAGGTCTTGGAAGTGAAGTTATATCTGAAACCCCGGGGACACCGACACTCGTACATGCCCGGCGTGTTGACACATTTAGCCGGTGCATTACAGATACTGGCATACAGCAGGCATTCATCGATATCTGGAAAATAGTAAATTGAAAGAGACAATGGGCAAATGGTCTTGTGAGAGTTTGCAATATGAACTGTCTGAGTAAAATAAATGTAATTACAATAACTACAATCTCTTATATGCAGCTTTTAGACAAATTTTTTAGTGTATGGTTACATTATCAGTGTGCCATAATGCAGTGCAGCTGCAAGCTGAGACTGTTGTGAAAACTCTTCCTTGGTGGTGAGTTCAAGGAAGGAGCCAGCAGCTACAAATCAGCATTTTCATGAGATATGTTACTGTGAAATTAAACCTAGCATAGAAACAATTAGCAACCTTGGATGTTATGGAAAGAATATGGTTGAGGTTCAGTCGCCAGCTCTCATTCTCCTTTAATGCAGTGCAGAAACAAATCTAAACCTGGTCCTAGTTTCTAAATTGTGAATGTTTGCTGCTGCTCTCTCACTCTTAAACTGTGTAAATTGAACATGAGCTCTGGATTTTACACTGCTTGTCCAAAAAAATTTGGAAAATGTGAGGGTAATATATTATATTCTATGGACAAAGAAATTAATAATCTAATTTTTAAATGTTTGACAGATTCATTGAAAATAATTATTAATTGCAGCTCCAACAAGAAACAGAAGCAGTTACAGCAGTGTTTGCTTCGATTTAATTCTGTGCTTCGGAAATCATTAATCACTCAACATTAGTCATTCGGTATAGGTATTGATGGAATATGTGCACAACCGCCTGTATGGTCTTCTAAATCTCCACAGCAAATCAAAAAAAAAAAGGAAAAAGCACATTTACCAAACTAACATAGTCCATGTTTGTAAAGACTTTGTACTCAACAAGCAGAGATAAACACTGAGTGAACTGTCCACACAAAATAGGACAGATAGAAATAAGCACAAATGAGACAACAAGCATCGACAAACTATAAGCAGGTTGTAACAGCTCTGACATATGAGGCTGGTGGTCCGTTTACAGTAAAAGGATGGGCCATCTTTTCAAATGTTAAAAGCTTTTCACATGCTGTTACATAAGAGGTCACCTCAGGCCAGCTTTAGAAATAACAAATGGTTCGGGCCCGGAGGACAACAGCTGGACGACAGAGTTTTTGTTATGAATTGCGTAGAATTCCACCGTCCATATGAATAAATAAAAAGGATAATACACAATGTGTGTGTTTTCTCAGCTGCTTAATAGCACTATATGTTCCTCTTCCATAGGGACAGTAAAACAGCTGCATGTCTTCATATACGTGACATAAATCACACACAGAAAGTGCATAAAACTGCACCTTTCTGTCCTTTGGTGTAACAGAAATTCATTCAGCTTAAAAGAATAACAGTGTTGTAGTTTAGCTGCACAAATTGCAACTGAAATGAATGAAGTCTTACCCACACAGTTGATGTTGTCATTGAGGAAGTAGCCGTCTTCACAAATGCAATAGAAACTACCAGGGAAGTTGTAACACTTTTGGTTACATCCCGCTGGAAATTCAGGATCTGTACACTCATCGATGTCTGCCAAGTTAACACATTACAAGACAACATTTATCAGTTCAGTCGCTTCGAAAGGTTCAATTATTTCCACGTTTAATAAAGTCTATGCACGTTCGACCAAATTATGTATCAGAACTCACCGTCCTCACAGAGCAAACCCTTCCAGCCAGGTTTACACACACATGTGAAGGAGGCCTGGCCATCCACACACCTTTCTGAACCCTCCTTGTAGCATGGAAACGGCGTACACTGGTTACTGATCTCTGCCATGCAACAAACACACACAGACACAGGATGTTGACAAAAGCCTCGATAAAAGCATTTCACAGGTGTGAGGCTAACCTGTATTGGGCTTATGGACAAACTGACGTTAAAAATACACTTTTCTTCCACGTGAAAGCCCCTCACCCTTCACACAGGTGCGAAGATTCGATGGGATACCAGAATCAGAGTTCTGGTTGTTGATGCCGACACGGTGTGAACCCAGACAGGCTGCAACAAAGAGTGATCTTTATCAGAATAGGTAAAACAAACCTGATATCACAAAGAAAAAATACATTCTGGAAACTTACCAACATATTTGGGGTAGAAGTATTCCTGGAAAGAAACAAAACAGGCAAGATATTTACCATTTGACAATAAGAAGTCTGTTGAAATAGTATAAGATCAGGATAAATAAAATGTTGCATGTATCATTTATAACATATAGTGTCTGACCTATAACTGAAATGTTTTGTCTATAGATCTACTACTAGAAAATTATTCTCAATTTAAATTATGTTAAAAGGAAAAGTGCCGAAAACAATAAAAATCTGAATATTTGTTGGTTTTCTTCAATAATTTATTCCAATTTATTTATATACTGGACCGTTGGTTGGGCAAAAGAAGACACTTGGAGATGTCAACTTGAGCTCTGGGAAATTGATGGTGAACAGACATTTTATGTACATCAAAACTGATTACTCAATAAAATATTTGTCAGATTCATCACTAATGGAAAATAATGATAACTTACAGCCCTAGTCTGATCTACTGCATTTCTTTTTACATTGCTTGACCCATCTCTTCATTTTCACTTGTTCTTTCTCATCACCCCACCTCCCCTAAGTCTCATAACCATGATCAGGAGGTCCGCGGCTCCTCTTACCGTCTCTGGCTGGTTCTCGAAGATCTCCCTGGCCTCCTCCTTGTTGCACAGCTCTTCGATGCACTCCCTCTCCAAGTTGCCCTTCTTGCTCTCCTCAAACAGAGAGTTGGCTCTCCTGTGCCTGCTCAGAAACTGAGAGGCTGTGCTCTGGCTCAGGACTACAGGACAGACACATCAACACACACACACTCGTTCATATATATTCTGTAAAGCTGCATTTTCCATAGTCAGTGTCAGTGTTTGCATGTTATGCTATTACAACAATCAAGAAGTGCACAAGCCTATTACTGTGCATGAGTGATTAATACAACCAGGCACATGCAGCTACATTATAATAACACATGACTGATCCCAGCAGGAATTTCAGTCCTCTGTTTCTTCCTGACAGATGGCTGATGTGGCTGCTGCCTTGCATGGACAAAGTGGACAACCTAATTACTCTTCTGTGAACTGGCCTGAAAAAAAAAAAAGGGGGGCTCATTGCGAAACCGTTATTTCCCAGAAACTCGTTGTAACAAGCTGCTCATGCCGACCAAGCATTGTTTGACGGTGTAGGAAAAGGAGTCATGACCCCTCACACTTTCTGTTCCCTGTTTGCTGCTCTTATGTTATAAGTACTGAAACCCAACTACCCGTTCACATACAGGCTAAAAACAAAAACAAAAAAAAAAAA